GTCCTCGCCCTGCATTATCAAATAGTTTTAATTTCAGATGATGATAATGACCTGGAGAGCATACATCATTTTTACACAATTTCAGCATTTCACTGTGCACACTATCGTGCACTCCAGCATCACTTATTTGACACAATGAACTCATCACAGAGAAATCCAAGAAATAACTCACTGTTCATCATCTCCTCTCTCCTTTTCTTTTTTCAAATTCTTAAGAATGGCATTGCTGTGATAGTAAACAAGTTTTGTGATACATGATTACATTGAAATAGAACATGATTAATCTAGGTGCGTTATTTTAAAATGCTAACCAGCAAGCATTTATGAAAAGAGAGAGAGGCAAGGAACAAAACAAAAGGCAAAAGTTATAAAATGTGAACAAAAGCTATACTGGTTTCTGGATACTTCCAAAGATGGAGTATAAATATTTTCAAAGATCTGGTTATAAGATAATAAAAAATGCTTGATTAGGATTGTTAAATCAACAAACAAAAAATCATGCCAGCATATAAAATGAATTGAGCAGTACCATGTAGTAAAACTGTGGAAGAATTCCACGATTCAATGCAAATGAGAGAAAGATGTAAAACTGTACAAGGGAGACAATTAGAAGCTTTCTTTAATGCAAAGCTCGCCAATCATCAGCAAGAAAAGAGGGTTTCTACATTATTCTGTACCTGCTTCACATTTTATTCATAACATCTCAAAAATCTATTAAGCAAGAGTTGAAGTTACAATAACATGATTAGAAATCTTACCACTGCCTTGGCCAACAAATGCTCCACCACCATAGTCATTATAACCACCTGACTGTTGTTGCATATATCCACCACCATAACCTCTTCCACGGCCACGATAACCCCGTCCTCTTCCACGACCTCTGCCCCTGCCACCATATCCATACCCACCATCCCTGCCACCATATCCAGGCCCGCCATCCCTGCCACCATATCCATACCCATCCCTGCCACCATATCCAGGCCCACCATCCCTGCCACCATATCCACGCCCACCATCCCTGCCACCATCTCCATTGTGCTCCACCACTCCATTGCTATTATTTCCTGTGTACAGAAAAGAAATAAAGTTATTGTTACTTTCCCAAAATAAAAGCAGATATAATGAAAGAGATGCACAACTGGCAAGGAAAACTATTAGTCCATGGTGGAAAAGATCCATAAACCGACAATAGAACTTGAAGTGAAAGTTGCTATACTATTTTGTGAAAGTTATCCAGCTATTTAGACATCAGCATACCACCAAAATTTTCTGTTTATCTATTATTCACATAAGCAGAAAAATATTACAGAGATCAAACGAAAACAATCTCTCTGTTCAGGGCATCTAGCAGATATATCTAATAGCCTCGCCAGACTTGTTTATGTCCAATGTTCACTGCCAGAAATGGTGACACCTGACAGCTTATCTGTACACTCATTTAGCCAACAAAAAGCGAAGCAGTTCAGGTGAGGTAACGGAACTGGGTACCTCAGAATCCAATTAAAAAGAAATTGCTCAGCAACAGCTCATATACAGTATAATTTGGCTGGTTTACTTTGACCCCTAAATCCCAGCCAGTATTGCTTCAAAAATCCCTTGCCTAATATAAAATATCTACTCGTTAAGAGCAACATGGCATGCAATATACAGACATTCACTCTAGAAGCCATAAATTTGATAATAAATAGTTTAAAAAAAAAATACACTTGCCGCCACCCCCAACCAATATAAAAAAGAATTAGCATATTAAACAATGTTAAGGTTGCGTCTTATGTTACCTCTACCTCTAGCAATCCCTCGACCACCACGCCCTCTCCCCTGCCTCCGAGGAGAGCCACCCTCTATATCAACAAAAACAAAGAAAAAGTCAATTGACACACCACAAAGGGATTGCAATCAGAAAGAGGAGTGAAAGATTTTGAATTACCTCCTTCATAATCATATTCAGCCAAAGGTTTCACTTGATCAGCTGGAATAGGTGATTGATAGCTAAAGGAGAAGTAATAAAATGGTATTAAAACAAGGACTAAAAGCTCAATATATTACATTCTTACACATTTATGCATGTGTGCAGATGTACACACAAGTACAATAGGGACTGCAGTGAGATGGTATTGACTAAAATTTGACTCAATGAAACCAAAGTGTGGATTTAGGCACACAGCAAGCTTCAACTCACCCTGTGGAGGATGTATCCAGTTCCTTCTTGGATAGAGTAACTGTTATCACTGATACATGACGAGTGGTTTCCAGGCTGCACTACCAAGAAACAAATCAGCCATTTCCATCAATAAAACACAACGCACCATAGAGGGGGATAGAGAAAGTTGATGAGAAATCTTACGGGAGAAGACCCTCCTCTAGTGGCTCCCACATGTCAGTTATATCAGTGGAACCAATAGATGTGTTCTGATGCAGACCAGCAATCCTTCTCTGAAACAGAGAAGAGATTCTCAGTATAACAAGGTTCTGATGATAGGCTGCATCCAGAATCTTTTGCCTCCATGTTTATGTGAATGAAAAGGTGTGGAAGAATTGAAAAATACAAATTAAACATGGAAAGCAACAAAACGTTATCACGTTGCCTTAATCAATTCAGCAATCATCACAGTCTTGTTTATGGCTCTGCCCATGGCCTTGAGAGAGATTTCATCAGATCCTTTCTCCTGTTAAAGCCCGACAGAAAATAAAATATCACCTTCAAATCCAAAGCCATGCTGCAAGTAAATGAATATTTTACTTATAGATACACCACCAATTCTTCAATAAGGTCGGTTTGCAAACACTGATGACTGCCCAGAAATATGCAGTTTAAGCAGATAAGAGCAATAGCAACCGTGAATCTCATTTAGGACGGACACAACAAAGTGAAACAAAGCTAGAAAAAGCACCATCTGATAATCTCACCCACAGTACTACACAGGTATCAAAACTTAACAAATCACTGAAGCTTTTAAGGGAAAAAACTGAGATTTATTATGCTATGCTATTGCAGTTTTAATTGCAAAAATAATAACAAACAAATATATATTAAAAAAACAACCTAAAAAGCATTTTGAAAAGGTAAGAAATAATACCAAGCACGCGCGTACTCTACTATTGAGGTCAATTTATTAATCAACATTGTAAAATTAAAAATAATTTATCGAAACAGAGAAGGAAGAACCTGAAAGAGCGTAGTGGCATAAGTAATGTAGTTCCTCATTCTGCCTTGAGTAGTAATGCGAATCTCATTCTCATTGATCGGCGTTTCGTTTCTTGGCTTCTCTACCCTCTGGTACCGATCCATTCTCTATGACACCAAAAATACACACTGTTTTCAGTTCTCGCTTCAATAAATCACGCAGATAGATCTGGAATCACTAAAAACAACGAAAATTTGAAGAAGCTAGGGTTTTCTTTGTTAGTTCCTACGGTACCGTTTTGAGTAGCAGCGCAAGTTCCTCGTGTGTTATTTTTCAGTTGCCAGGAGATTGTGGAGATAAGAAGAGGGGTAGGGTTTCTTCTTTTGTTTTTTGAAAAGGAGAGCGGTCGCTTCGGCAACGAGACCGCGTTATTAAACTGATTTTCTTTATCATGACGTGGCTCCTTCGGATATGATTGTAATTGTACTTTCCTCCCATGTTTTGTTGCCACGGAAAGAAGCATATCTGCCAAGCGATGTCGTTTTGGATCTATTTGTAGGGATTTGACAACCAGCGAACACACCTGTGTTCTTCGCTTTTTGCTCTCTCCAAGCACTTACTAAAGTTTTCTTTTTCATTTTTAGTCATTTTTTCCCAGTTTTTCTTTTCCAGTAAAAAATTAAAAAACATGTTCATTTTTTAAAGTTTTAGAATATTTTTCTAGCATGGAAAGCTGAAAGACATGTTCATGTTATATAGTTTTTTACTTGGAGAAAAATAACAAAATAAAAATCATGTTCGAATTCAATATATTTTTTATGATATTCTTTATATTTTGACATGCATAAATACTTTTTATCATTATTTTGAGAGAAAATTCTCATCTAATTAAATTGAATGAGATACTACAAGATTAATATAACTATATAATATTTGCATAGTTAGAGTGTATGAATAATAAAGTTTTACCCCCAAAAACAATATTAATTAAAATACAATAAGTTACTAGTGACTATTATGATGATTCCATATACAATGATTTCCTAACCAAACTCATTTGATACTGTTAAATGCCTTCTTGCACCATGCCAGCGCCATCCTCTTCTAGAAATTTCAATCATTCTCCATAATATTCTATAAATAATTGATCAGATAAAAATAGAAGTTTGGTAAGAGCGAAAAAAAAGGAGGGTATTTTCATTTATTTTTTATTTCTATTTTCTATTGCTTTGGCGACATGGCCTAGTGATAAGGTGGGGGACTGCAAATCCTCTTTCCCCAGTTCAAATGTGGATGTCGCCTGATCAACTAAAAAACACGAAATTCCTTACTTTGTTTTGCTTATATATTGTCCCACATAGAGATAGCGGAGGAAAAAGATTCGCGATATTTCCAAGAGCTTATTTTGTTTGCGCTTTGCAGAAAATGTTACACTCATATAAATGCGTCTGGCCAGATGAAGTTATTCACCTATCAATTTTCAAGTAGAATACATTGAACTGGACTGACAAAGGCACATGCATAGGCAAATGAAATTCATCTACACGCATCTTTCAACATTGCACAGTAGAATAGCAAACCATTCTTCAAGTTATCCCCTCCGAAAAGAGGAGATAATTGAGGGCTCTAAGATTACTCGCTACTTAAATAACATACAAGAAACCAATATTTTGCTCTCAGGGAACCATTTATGCCGCAAAAGGAGCTAGCAACCTTCCAAGCTTCATATGTATATATATATATGTGTGTGTGTGTGTGTGTGTGTGTGTGTGTCACCCGACTTCGCGGCGACCTTAAAAATTTATTAAATCCTTGAAAAGAACATATTTCTGGCATCTTATTCTCTAATAAGGATATTCTTTGTTTAAGGAGTCGACAAAGATTGCAGCTACTGGACATATATATATGTCACCCGACTGGCAGCCTTAAAAATTTATTAAATCTGCAAACCAGGGCTTGGCCTAACGGTGGAAGGGACTTGTCTCCTTCCACTGCACCTGGTTGGGAAATTCCGACCGGTGTTGTTCTGATACTTGCTCATAGGAGGACCAAGCACACTGACACAATATTTAACGTGGTTCGGCAAAACCGCCTACATCCACAGGAGAAGCCATTGCATTATGTAGGGAGAGTTAAATCTTTAAAAAAAATGGATTTCTGGCCACCTAGTATTATGATTACTAGAAACCCTAATTGATCAATAGAGATTATATGGTCTGAGACTGGTTACGTAAAAGAAAAGATATTATCACCCCTTAAATGTCCTACCTAAAGCAGGCTGCATTGCTGCTCTTTGTCTTTAATTGCTAACATTTTTTTTTTTTTGTTATACTATAATTGTTTGTGTGTAATATTCCTGACTCTGGCGCCAGTAAATATTTAACTACGGATATTTCCAACTCTGGCGTTGGTAAATATTACATAGGTATCAAAGTAAATAAATTTAAATCATTAATTGCTATTTTTTTTATTTATACCATGATTGCTTATGTATAATATTTCTGACTCTGGCGTCAATGAATAAAAAGATCAAATAAAAATAAAATTTATACATATATATATTTTTATGTAACTAAGTAAAAAAAATACAATAAAATAAAATAAATTATTATTTTTATTCCTGACTCTGGTGTCAGTGAATAAATTTATAATTTTATTTTATTTTATTTTATTTTATTTTATCTACTTTTATTTTTTTGCGAAATTAAACAAAGTTCAATGAAATAAATTTGAATATTTATTCATGACTCTAGCTTTAATGAATAAAAATAAAAAAAATTCATTTTTTGTTTTTTTATTTACCCATTCAGAATCTTTTTTTTATTTTTTATTTTTTATATTTTTTGGGCTGGGCTGGGCCCAGCTCAAACCCTATGGGCCGGGCTCAGCCCAGCTAGCCTAGCCTAGCCACTGGCCGAAGCCAGCGGCCCG